TAATATATATATATATATATTCCTTCCCCAAATGCATTTGTAAAAAGTATAGTATTTTACTAATTAATTTCTAGTGCACTAAGTTTGTGCTAGTTGAAAGCATGAAATAACTACATTTAGAGTGTATTTTTAATTAGTATAGACATGTAAATCTATTTTTAGTATACTTATCATGAAATAAATATATTTTAAATACAATTAAATATATTTATTTTTCACTAGGGGTACCCTTGCTGTTTATGAAAGGTCAGAAAGCTCTCGGATTTCATCAAAAATATCTCAATTTGTGATCCGAAGATGAACGAAGGCCTTACGGGTTTATAACGACATGAGGGTGAGTAATTAATGACAGAATTTTTGGGTGAACTATCCCTTTAAGATCATGATTGTCCTTCGAAACACTATGATTTAATTGTACCTGTCGTGTCTTTCAGCTTTGATCCGACACAGAGAGGGCAAATGGTGTACTTCCTCTCCGCGGAGGGCATAAAGCCCTCGTTCCACTCCGCCGTCCTCTTCAACCCCGCCATCAACTACTCCGACAGGAATGATTCCTCCGCGCCGACGCCCGTCGTCTGCCGTCTAGACGCCTCCTCGCCCACCGCCTTCCCGCAGAGCAATGTCTCGCTGACATCGTACGACCTGTCGCTGGCGGAGGTCATGCTCCTCGGCCTCGTGTTCGGGGTGTTCTGGGTCATATCGGTGCTGGGGAACTCGCTGGTGTGTCTGGTGATCCATCGGAGCCGCAGAACCCAGTCGACCACCAACTATTTTGTGGTGTCGATGGCGTGTGCGGATCTGCTGTTGAGCCTAGCCTGCGCGCCGCTAGTTCTCCTGCAGGTTTCTGCCGGTCACTGGCCTCTGACCGGGGCTGCATGCAAAGCTGTACGATACTTGCAGCACCTGTGCCCCGGCGTCCAGGTCTACGTGCTTCTGTCCATCTGCGTGGATCGTTTCTACACCATCGTATATCCGTTGAGCTTTAAAGTGTCGCGCGAGAAAGCCAAACGAATGATTCTGGCGTCTTGGCTCTTTGACGCCGCGTTCATATCGCCATGTTTGTTCTTCTACGGATCGTCAGCGTCGCAAAACCACTGCGACTTCTTTCTGGCGGACAGCTGGGACGGGTTGGCGTACGCCGTCGCGCATCTTCTCTTTGGTTTCTTGGTGCCGGCGCTGCTCATCGTGTCCTTCTACCAGCGGGTGGTGCGCTACATCTGGAGGATCGGCGCTGACGGGCGAACAGTGCGCAGGACCATGAACATCGTCCCCAGGACTAAAGTCAAAACCATTAAGATGTTCCTGATGCTCAACGCCGTGTTTCTCCTCACCTGGACACCGTTTTACGTCGCACAGCTTTGGCACCCGAAGGAAACGACGGGCCCAAGCAGACGGTCGGCGCTGTTCTTCGTCGCTGTGGCCTGGATCTCCTTCAGCTCCACGGCGTCCAAACCCACGCTGTACTCTGTGTACAACGCCAACTTCAGACGCGGCATGCGAGAGACGTTCTGCATGTCGTCCATGAAGTGTTATCGCAGTAATGCATACACCATCACCGCCAGCTCGCGGATCGCCAAAAAGAACTACGTGGGCGTGGTCGATCTGCCCGTGCCGGCAAAGACGCTCATCAAAGACTCGGTTTATGACACTTTTGACCGAGAAGCAAAGGAGAAGAAGTTAGCATGGCCTATTAGCTCTAACCCACCCAACACGTTCGTATAAAGGCTCAGAAATTAACGTTAAAGAGATAGCTTGCCCAAAAATGACAATACTGTCGTCATTTACTCACCCTGAAGTTGTTTCAAACCTGTATGAGTTGCTTTTTTAGGGGCCGTTCACACAGAACGTGTTTTTCCATTGCAATGCTCTACTTTTTCATTGTTTTTCTATGTAAACGCATGCTAGACGGATGCGTATGACTGTTAGGCTCGCGTCTCGCACATGAGCGCCGCGTTTTTAAGATGCCGTGTAAAGTTAAAAGAATTTACATTTTTACATGTAGCGCCGCTCGTCAATGTCAGTTCCAAAACAGTGGACCAATCAGAAGAGTGCGGAGGTGGGGCAAGCCTTGCCAGCTTTTGTTTACAGTAGCAAGTTGGCATGGCAACTTTTTATTTGACGGCAGCATGACGGAAGAGGCATTCAGCATTGCACTTAAAAAAAAACAAAAAAACATTCCTGAGCGCTGCGTCTAGCGATTTTAGACACAAAAGACATGTTCTGTGTGAACGGCCCCTTATAAAAGATATTTTGAAGAATGTTGGTAGCCAAACAGTTGATGGTCCCCATTGACTTCCATCGTGTTTGTTTTCATACTATGGATGTCAGTGGGTACCAACTGTTTGGTTACCAACATTCTTCAAAATATCTTCTTTTGTGTTCAGCAGAAGAAACTCAGAAACACTTGAAACAACTTTAGGCTGAGTAAACAAAGACAAAATTCAAATTTTTGGGTGAATGATTCCTTTAACTCATTATAATGATATGTGGGTGAGTAAATAATGAAAATTGTTGAGCGAACTGTTGCGTTAACTGCCGTTGCACCACGATTACACACTACAGAATTAACATGACTAAACGAAATCTGTTGAAATGCAAAAAACGTGGTGCTAACTAGTTCACATACTCACTGATGACATTGGAGGAAGACTACAAAACACCCTTATCGTCACTACTGTGATCCAGTGGAAGGAAAGTGTTGATCGTCATGTGTTCTTCTGTTCGTGTTTCTGATCAGTCTGATCCTACGGTGGCCTGGTGGCGCCAAACAGGGTTCATGTTAATCTTCAGAAGATGCGTTTGTGTTTTTTGTGCCTGTAGTTACAGATAAATTTTGTCTCATAGTTTTGTGTTGTCTCATGATGCAAGACATGTGTCCCTGTGATTTTACAATTAAACATTCTGTACGATTCAAATGTAAGCCATTGTCTGAACGTTCCTGTGACCGATTGGTTATATTTACTAAAGCTGTACCTCAAAGAGCAGTTCATCCAAAATGAAAATGAACTGAAAATCTGCTCACCCTCAGACCATCCAAGAGTTTGTTTCTTCATCAGATTTGGAGAAATGTAGCATTGCATCAGTGTCTCAGCAATGGATGCTCTGCAGTGAATGGGTGCCGTCAGAACGAGAGCTGATAAAAACATCACAATAATCCACAAGTAATCCACAGCACTCCAGTCCATCAGTTAACATCTGGAGAAGACAAAAGCTGAAACAAATCCAGCATTAAGACGTTTTTAACTAAAATTCGAGTCCATAATAACGCTTCCTCCAGTGAAAAAGTCTATCTCTTGTTGTTTAGAACTGTTCTGGCTTGTAAACGCTGCTTGATCTGTGAAGATTTCTCTCCTGATTCAGACCATACAACTTTTTCACTGGAGGAAGCGTTATTATGGATTATGGACTCATATTTTAGTTAAAAACGTCTTAAATATGGATTTGTTTATCACAAACATGCAGCTTTTGGCTTCTGAAGATGTTAACTGATGGACTGGAATGGATTATTGTGATGTTTTTATCAGCAGTTTGGACTCTTATTCTGACGGCACCCATTCACTGCAGAGCATCCATTGCTGAGCAAGTCATGCTACATTTCTCCAAATCTGATGAAGAAACAAACTCATCTACATCTCGGATGGCCTGAGGGTAAGTACATTTTCATTTTTGAGTTGCATGTGCATTGCTTTAAAGCTGCACATGCAAACTAATCAAAATATTTTATTCCCACAAACTGATAATGAACCAATTAGAAGATTTCAGTCATTCTTTTCAGTTCAGTTTCAGCTGAAGACTCGTGGTCCGCTGCTCAATGTGACATTTCCAATTTCTCCATGTTCAGAGTTGGATGACGTTGCTCTATTGTTATTCAGGATGAAAGCGAAGGGCTTTAATGAAACACGCACATCATAATTAGTTTTCATATTGAGAGCAAGGACAATGAAAGTGCTTGTGCTGCTCTGGATTCTTAACCGAGACAAAAGAAAAACCTTCAGCTGCACAGAATGACAGCAGCAGCACATTTACCTGCATCATTATCAGTCTGCGCTAGAAATATAATCATAACTTTTAGCTTTTAGCAGGTTTGATCTGAGCACTAGTGCTAATAATAAATGATCTCTAATCATAAACTGAGGCAAGAAAGACAAGAAGATTCAGATTCAATGTTTTTATATTCATGATCACAAAGCAAAGCTACATTGTTTAATAAGACGTTTATCATTAATAAGCATCATCCTGCAACAAATTTCAAAATACATTTTATACACGCCATATAAAAATATACATTTGAGCTCTAAATATTATAGATTATGCCAGCCAGAATAGAGACTCAGAGTCGGGAGTCGCAAGGAAAAGTGCTGAAGGCCAATGAAAGTGTTTCACGTTCATTAAAACTTGAACTTTTCACAAAACACTTGTACATCTCTATGTTTGGGCCGATCAACACTGATGAAATAGGTTCACATTCATTACATTTATTCAGATCGTAACTCATCTGTGCTGAAATATGTTATTTTTGTTTGTTTTTGGCAAACCTGCCAAATAAAGCAGAAAGAGGAAACTCAAATAAAGTACAAAAATTAGAGCTTTGAAGGAAAGTGCTTCAAGTTTCAGTTAGTGAAATAAATACACGATCAACAACAGACACAGACAAACTCTATTTGTACAAGAGAAAAGGGAAGTGCTATGCGTTGAAATCTTTCAAATCTCGTAAAGTGCAAAGAGCCGAGCAAGAGATTTTGGCAAAAGTGCGTCTTATAATGTCTCTGTCTATAGGTTTAATGGATTAAACTGATTATAACACACATCAGAGTGACGAATCGTCACATTCTGTCACATGGAATAATGAATAAAAAAAGGGAATTGCGACTTTTTATCTTACAATTCTAAGAAAAACTAGGAATTGCCAGATATAAACAGAATTCTGAATTTTTTCGCACAATTCTGAGTTAACATCTTGCAATTCTATTTTCTATTCAATTCTATTTAAAAGAAAAAAAAGAAAATTGCTACTTTTTATTTAATAATTCTGACTTTTTAATCAGTATCGTACAATTTTTCAGTTTCTTCTCAGAATTTCAAGTAACTTGGTTATGAACCGAGTAGCTAAGTTATAAGCTTGCAATTTTGAGTTAATATCTCAGGATTAAAAGAAAAAAAGTCTGAATTGTGACATGTAAACTCAGAAATGTGAGATAAAAAGGCACAATTAGCTTAATTTTTTGGACTCGCGAGCGCTGAATCCTTCATCACAAATGATCTGGTACCAGAAGGGGTTCCAAAATAAATATATAAATGAGGAGGAAATGTTTATGAGTCACACAGAACGCTCACACATCAACACAAAACCTGGATGTGAACCACGTCCGCAAATCGACAGGAATAACTCTAATGTTTGAATGGTCATATTATTGTGAATGCAAACAGAAAAACTTATTTTAAACGTCCCATTACTACAAAACGACAGATAAACACTGTGAATCAACACTGTTCACATCCAAACGCACTCGCTCCGGATCCGTCTAAGACGTCTTGTTCTGGCCGTTTCCGCTGGAGCCGTACTTGCCGTTCTTGGGGATCTTGTTGCTGGAGCTCTGCAGCGCTTTCTGCTCGTCTCCGGTCAGGAGGGCTTTGATTTCGGACGGGATCTTGCCCTGGTCCATGGCCAGACACCACTGTTTGTACTGCAGACACACGAACAGCGACAGATCAGGGGTGTATTCCAGAAAGCAGGGTTAACTTACCATCTGCTAAACCCTGAACTCAAAAAAACCCAAACCTTGCTTACGCGAGGTATGCTGGTTCCAAAAATGCGTATGGGAGTAAGTTCAGTCAACCCAGAGCATGTTCACGGTTAACCCTCAACACATTATCAACAGAGCGAGGAATCGACGAGTCGCCATGGAAACCGATGCTAAGCGAATTTGTTCAGTGGTCATTTACATGCTTAGTGCATATCGCCACCTAATTGATGGTTGTGCGATCATCTGTTGTATTTTTTTCGTTTAATCTTTTAATCACTGAGAATAAGAACTATATTGTTTGTTTGATGGTATTTATATAATAAGAAATATCACCTATGTATTTTTATTGTAGATATATAAAAAATGCAGACCATGACAAAAAAATATAATAAGTATATTAGAATAAAATAAACATTACCTTGTTATAATAGTGTTTTATAATTAATATATATATCAACGATAGAATAAATATAATAACATTTTAGAATAATATATTACCTTATATAGTACGTATAATTGCGCTTTATAATTAACATCATACAACTATATATATATATATATTTGATAACTATATTGTAATAATATATAATATTGTGCGCAATCTGTCACACCCACTGGAGTCTGTTCAGTAGGTCACGCATGCGCTGATAGCGCTGAAGTAAACTAACCCCGAAACAGAACCTACTCCGGAGCAGGTTATGTTCAGAGAATAAGCTGTTGTTATGGCTACTTACATACCCTGAGAGTTACCTCCGTTTTTGGAACCAAAAGCTGAGTTTATCCGCTTACATACAGAGTTCCGGCATGAAACTCTAGATGGCGCAGTCCGATAGGTCTAACTCAATCTGACCTAATGACATCATTATCACATGGCACAGCTGATTGGTTTCATGTATGTTATATGTGCAGCAGCAGTATTTCTTACATGCTCACAGCAGCATGTTGTGGATGTATTGGCAGTAGCAAGTCTCGGTACTAGCTCTGCCGCAGCAGCAGCGTAGCAGATCTATTCCGCCAAGACCAAATACATTAACACTGTCAGGTACATTACCATGCCAATCCCTCCGAGAGTTGTCATGACAGAAATACCCTTAAACATACCCGGGAATGTCACATAACCTGCTTTCTGGAACACCCCTCAGTTTGAGAGTGTGATTACCATGTCCAGCTCCTCTCGCAGCGCACAGATGGCTCTCTCCTTACTGGACACCAGCTCCTCCAGATACTGGTAGCGCAGCTTCTTTCTGGCGCGACACTCTCTGGCGCTCTGCCGGCTTCGCTCCAGCTTGGCCTTCAGGTCGATCTTGGCAGGTTTGCGGCCACGTTTGCCGGGTTTCTTCACTTTTCCAGCAACCATCTACAGATCAGAAGAGACTTTACGGTGAAACACTCATGTGGTGATCATGCCACATAAATAAACAACACGATGTAAGTGCTGTAAACAGAAGACAAAATTACAGGTTGGCTTACAAATTTGTTATTTCATAATTTATACATTTTACAATACTGACACTGGTATTGATCTCAATTGAGCTGAACAATGACTCTTATTTTCCTCTGTAGAGCTGCTTTATAGACTACACGTTAATTAATTTACAAATTTATGAATTTTACAATGCTAACACTGTTGTTTTCCTGTTTTATTGAGCTAAACTCAAACAAAACTGAACGGAATTGATCTGAATAATGACATTGTTGTCTTTTGTAGAGCTGCTTCACGGCTGTCTCATAATTGAATAATTTTACAACGTTAACACTGTTATTTTCCTGTTTTTTAATGTGAAGCTGCTTTGAAAGAATCTGTATTGTGTATAAATAAATGTAAGTTGACTTAATAAACATTGCATACTATTTTGGCGGTACCATTGTAAAATAATGGTCTCAGAATTGATTACCATGGTATTTTCATATATACCACGATTCAATTATATTAATATGCTAACACTTACTCCGAGGTATTTCACAGAATGCCATGGCACATGTACATTAATCATGCTATTACGATAGTTGTTTTAGTTGTTGGAGAAGTGAAATCGCATGAATCTAGCTGATCCTGAGCTTTAGTGCTGTAAGTCAACGGGATGCTCATATATGTTCATATGACGCACTTTATTGTGATCCATCGCGTGTTTTCCAATCGACGCGAGTCTGCAGTCGCGCGCTGATCCTCGATCATTCACCTGTAATCGATCAGAGAGTCCGATTGAGATGATTTTTGATCAATCTTCCAGTGGAGCTGCCTGTGTTTTTAGCCGAATGCTAACAGCACTCTTCCGGTTCTGGCGCGGGTGACGCCCACCGCGCTGCATGCTGGGACCTGTAGTTTCTTCCCGATGGCAAGAATGAACCATTCTAGAAAGATCCATCAGTTTACACACACACACACACACACACACACACACATTACATATTTATATACACAACACCAATATAATAACTCACTGGAAGCAACATTAAATGTGTGTTATATTACATGGGATGGACTACTGACACAAAAACAGAGGGTAATGCCACTGTAGGCCTACTGTTTTAAGTTTTAGTATGTGCTTTGTTGTCATGTATGACCACAGTAAGTTGTGAAGGTGTGTGTGTGTGTCAAACACCTGCTGCTGCTGACACACGCATACTTATATATGTGGTTTACGATGATATTCCATAATGGTTTTTATACTGTACAGTATAAAACCAGTGTTAAACCCTACACCTAAACCTACCCCAAGAGCTGGGTAGATTACTTACAAATTGTAATCTGATACTGATTCCAAATTACGTGACAAAATATGAAGTTAGTAACGTAATACATTACATTACACATTTTAGGTAATATAATCAGACTACTTTTGGATTACTTTTAGATTACTTTTGAGTTTTGACCTAACTAAAAATACTAAATAGGATAATCTTGTACCATACTGATATAAAAATACAAAGAGTAAGAAAATATGATGACAACATGAAGTGCATCAAACATTAGATTATGTCAAGGTCTCCCAAACAGGTTCATAAAGGAACTGCACGGGGTTTGTGAGCTTAATGAAAAGCTAATAATTATTTAGATCATAAAAATGTAATATCAAAGTAAATAATTTTAAATAACATCAATCAAAATAAAACACTTACTAAAAAGTGAAATATTGTGTTTATCTGCATGTCATGTGACCATTAACCAAGAGAACTGTGAACATGCAAATGTGATACTTAATTACTACAATAGTTATTTTAAAATCTCAGGGCTATTCAAGTAAATATATTAGTGAAAGAGGTTCAGATGACTAAATGTTTTGGGAATGCCTGTATAAGAAATAATGTGAATTTGTGCATTTTAATGTGTTTGGAAGACAAAAACCTTTCAAAGACATATACATGGTTAAATAAGCTACTGAGTGATAATTCAAATAAACATTAATGTGTTCATGATGCAATGTTGAAACACGTCTTAAGTATTTCACTTATTTTAGAAAGGAACATTTAAAAGATGAAATAGGGAGAATCAGTAAATCATGAATAATGTATTGCTGTTGTGTGAATAATATGTAATCATGTAATCAATAAAAAGTAACTGTAGTTTGATTACGTATGAGTATTTTATTACTATACACAATGCATGCATACATCTTATTTTAAAATTGTCATGCTTGTCATGATGCCACAACAGCGCTGTATAACTGATGTAGGCAATGTTTTATTTATTTTTTCCTTTTTATTCGAAATATTCCCAAACGTGTTAACTATATCATGAAATATCTCGATTCTCAAATATGTGTAAGTAAATGCATTTTGCACCTTTATAGATCATGTTAGTTGATTTATAACGGGCGATGGGCAAAGTAGCCTAATGTTATTGTTATCTATTAACTAAGCATAAAATCCATCTTTTTACTTAAGGCTGCAGTCCGTAACTTTTGGCGCTCTAGCGGTTAATAAACAGAACTGCGTGCGTCTTGCGGAAGAACATTGTAGCCGGAACTACTTCTCTATGTTTATGTCTATGGCGAATCACGCAGGTACTAATAGTCCGAATATAAACACTTATTATAGGTGTACCGTAGTGATTCAAGACAAGCCAAAAACACGGTTTGGAAAATTGATTAATGGTGTACTTGCTTATTATATAAATTTAGTAAATTATGAACACAAAAAAGTTACGGACTGCAGCTTTAAGTACCAGATATTGGTGTCATACCATAAAATATTTTTAATACGACTGGCTTTGTATTTAATGTGAATTTAATAAAAACACTGTAAGTTACTAATTATAACACTTTCATTGGAAGAGAGCAAAGAACATGATTGACTTCAGTCTAGTCGGTCCTTGATTCTGATTGGCTGAGCCGCGTTCGAAGCTGTTGTAAATTACTCTACAAACACACACCTTTGTTTACTTCTGTGTGATGCTGAGGAACTACATTGTTTGGTGGAAGAATACTGTTTTTATTTATATCATTACACTTTATTTGCTTTGTTTTATTTTGTGAAACCTAACTACGTATATAGAATAACTGTTTTATAAAAGCAATAAGCCCCGTGAAGCCGTGGTTTACAGTGAATTTATAACAGCTCCGTGTCGTGCCTAACAACACCCCTTAGCTGTTATAAATCCACTGTAAACCACGGCTTCTTTAGGCTTATTGCTTTAATCACACCGGTGTGATCATATCAAATATAAAAAATATTATTCGGCTATATTTTGTCTTTTGGAAGCTGCATTCAAAATCCACTTGGCTCAAAAATCTTCTATGTCTATGTCTGCATATTTGGCATATTTTATCTGGCAACACGTCAGGGGCTGCACCCTACCCCTTACACAAAACTTTCTGCATTTTTAGATTTTCAAAAAACTTAATTCTGTATGACTTATAAGCTTGTTTCCTCATGGGGACCAAAAAATGTCCCCGCAAGGTCAAAATGTACTGGTATTGCTATACTTGTGAGGACCCTATAACGTAGCCTATAGGCTACACACACACAAACACACACACGTTTTATGGTTCATGGAGACTCTCCATAGGCGTAAGGGTTTTTATACTGTACAAATGGTATTTTCTATCGCCTACACCTAAACCTACCCCTCACAGAAAACTTTGTGCATTTTTAGATTTTCAAAAAAACGAATTTTGTATGATTTATAAGCCTTTTGAATTACGGGGACACTGAAAGTGTCCTCATAAATCACCTTCATATTGTCATGTCATTATACAAATTTGTGTATAAATAAACCACATAAACACACACACACACAGACACACACACACACACACACACACACACACACACAGGGGGCCATCAGGGGACACTGGCCCCAAACAGGACATCAATAATTTGTCTAATGTCTCTATTAAATCACCCAAAAGTCACTTAATGATTTTTAGTTAATTTATAAGCGTGTAACTCGTAATAAAGCGTGTGTGAGTAAAATTAATGTAGTTCTGCTGCTGATTGTGTAATGAGAGCCTCATAAACTAATTTACACTGTTTTTTACACTCATTTACACCCTCAGAGGCTTTCTGTCCTCGTTAGCGGATGCCAGTGGATCTGCGGCTTTATTCTCTGGGTTTTAGCGCTGTTTGTCGAGTGTGTTTGAGGCCGGCATTAGTTTCAGTGACGCCATGATGTTATTTTTACCCGATGAGCTCACGAGCGCCGAACTCACTCACACTTCACCAGCGTTAACCAGCGTTAACTAGCCTAACTACCCACCCGCTCATCTCTACCGGGCTTACCACTCGTCTGGTCATCTTTATCTGTGGATTTACTGTAAAATGAGACGGACTGAAACTTTCATGGTGAGTTTCGGACATGAGTTAAATGAGAAATAGACCTCGGAGGGCCGCTGTGTGTGTGTGTGTGTGTGTGTGTGGAGACACGATGTTCTTGTTAGTTTCGTTTACTTAGTAAACTTGGTTAAAATGAGTTTAAAGTTATGGAAAGTTCCGTTTGCTGTACGTTAGTGTGTGTTTGTTTTATAGAGTTTATGTTTCATCTTTACTTTGCTGTCATTAAATACAGTACATTATATGACACAGCAATGAGACCGACATCTGCAAAAACACTGAAAACACTCTTGTTCTTCTCAAAATGTTCTTTAGAGTAAAATACTGTGGTGGTGGTGATACCATGGTACTGTGATGGTATCGTATAGACTATGATACTGAATGATTATCACATTTGTGTACCGTTTACACTATACTTACAGTATTACCATAGTATATTCTGTTCTCACTTATATAACAGTACCATAATATCACTTTCATCAGTCACTTTGGATAAAATGTATGCTAAATGAATACATGTAATCCGTCTATTTCAGGGTTGTTATAATTAATAAAATACCTTTTTGTTGCTTTAAATGAAAAAAAAAAAAATGTTAACTGAAGTACAATACAATATAAAAAACGTAAAGTTATTTTATTTCAGCTAACATTTCTCATTTCCCTAAAATAACAAACTAAAACTGAAATAAAAATTATATAGACATATAAAAACAACAAAAATAAGTAAAAATGACAAAAACGCAACAAAATTACTAAAACTTTAACTACAATTAACATGAAATCTTAAAGTATAAAAAAATATGAACCAAAACTGTAATAAGTTTAACTAAAAATAACACTAATCAAAATAACCATGGTATTACAAACATATCTTTCTGAAAAAAACAAAACAAAACATGGTAATACCATGGTACTGTTATTGTCTGTTTTCAGTGTGTGACGGTCACATGATCACGTCTCTCATTTCAGGATATTTCTGAAAGGGAAGTTCAGCATGTTTATTCACCAGCGGCATCATAAAAAATCACCTGTGGAGGAACAGAAAGCACTCATGGTGTTGTTGTGTGACTGTTTCTATGTTACAAATACAGACTCAGAGTAAACATGGCATGTGTTATGAACAGTGTTGGGGAAAGTTACTTTTAAAAGTAATGCGTTACAATATTGCGCTACTCCATTAAAAAGTAACTAATTACGTTACTTTTTATGGAAAGTAATGCGTTACGTTACTTTTGCGTTACTTTTTAAATCTGGACAGGGCTTGCTTGTTTGTTCTTAAAATAAAAAAGTTATATTTTTGGCAAATATAAAAGCCTTTTCACACCAAACGTGAAATGAATAAGCCTCAGGCTGAAGGGAAAGTAAATTTACGTCCGTACAGTAGAATACAGAAGAAGAAATTTCAACACACTTCAGCAATAAAAAAAGACACACAAATGTTTGTCTAGAGTAATTTGTGCTTATTAGTACGGTTGAACTGGATCATCGAAGGTCAGAAGCAAAGACATTG